CCCCCCCCCCCCCCCCCCCCCCCCCCCCCCTCTTTCCCATGAACCCCCTGGGGCTTCAACAGAGCCGATTACGTGTTTGCCGTTGCTAGTATTGGTGTGCGCGGATGTGGATTGAATTGGATCATCCAGCACCGCCGGCGGTGGGAATTCAATTGCGTGTCTTGGCCGGACAGATCGCGGCAGATGCTGATGACGTGGCTTTGGACGGCGGCAGTCAGGAGGAGGAGAGTAAGGCACGGGCATCAAGCGAGGAAGTTCGGGGTGGCAGATTGGCGGCCGCTAGAGGGTGGTGGAAGTACAAGCAGGCCAAGCACCTCCAGGCAACCGCAGAACGAGAGCTGCAGAAGGTGAGCCCCCACGATGATGGGCTCTTGTTGGCATGTGGATTGCGTACTTTTGTCTCTTTTCCGGTGCGTGGATTGGGTGCTCGCCCAATTATTGTCGTCGGGAGCAATAGGTCTCTGTATTGACTGTTTGCTTGGCGTGTTGCCCATTTCGTTTCCTCGGGTATTCCTAAATATACTGCAGATGCGTCGAGATATCGGCATTGACACCATGAGCTGGAGAAACGGATCGTAGGTTTCACTTTGGCGTCAAACCTGTGAGTGGCTTCGCCGTCGTTGGATTTCCCAAAGTTCCTCTACATACTTGCTGGGCATCCTCTGCCCCCCTCCTCTTACCTCGCAATATCACATTTTTTCCGCCCATGTCGTCTCAACGATCAGACTGAGCACCAAGGCCCCCAGCCTTGGCAGGCAGCACATCGACGACCACGTGCTCAAGACAGCCGAACATGTCTTCAGACAACTGACCGATGTTGGAGCCAGCACGTACGCCGTTAATGTGAGTTAAGAAACCCGTCACTCACATGTTTCCGTCGTTTCGCTGTCTGTGGTAGAATGTTTCAAGTACCTCGCCTGGGTAGAGGTAGAGTCTCCACCACCTGAGACGCGTGTTTTCACCGCTCCTCCACTAATTTCGAGATTTCGGGGGGATGATCCAAGGTACAAGGTGGATTGCAGGGTTCCCCGGACTAGATTTTCGGACGCAAACTTCTTTTGATTCACCGTTCTACTTTTTGCCCCTTGCCCCATGACGCGGTCACGCACGTTCCAGGAGATGGTGGCAGAGATGCGTGCGAGTGCAGCGTATGACACGGCGGTTCTGACTGACAAGCAGGCGGATGACGCGGCGTGCCACGACTGTCTTGACGGCTTGGCCGAGCGGGGGGGGAGGACGGAGGGTTATTGTGCAGACGTGCCAGCGGAAGCGTTTGAGGGTAGCCACGATCCGGACATCACCATGTACGGAACGACGTCCTTGCCGTCATTCGCTGAGCTTGTTCGTAATGTGGGCATTGAAGCGGTCGTGCAAGTACAATACAAGTATCCTAGAACTGCTCGTAGGGGAAAGGTGAGCCACATTGTCGTGGTTGGGCCTAAGGGATTCCAGCTGTGCACGTGCTTAAAGCTTATGAGGTGTGGGTTGCCCTGCAGTCATGTGTTCGCCGCACTGGTGACAAGGCTCGACCGGGCGAGCGATTTCATTGGCGCGTCGATCCACCCTCGTTGGCGAAAGTCTGTTGTGGAATGGAGTCTACGGAATGTCGCACTAGGAACCTTCGATGGCCACGAGACCTTCACGGGTGGTTTCACGGAAGATTTTGGTGGGGGTGATTTTGATGGGGATAGCCAGGACACCCTCAACACAAGTGTAGCATACACACGCAAGAAGGCTTACGTTGACTATATCGCGATGGCCCAGCAGTGGGCGAATCAAGCGGCAGCGACCTTAGATGGGACCCCTGCCGCGTACCAAGCATATTGCGCAATGGTAGAAAGGCAGCGACATGAAGTTCAAGCGCTTCTGCGGGGCCCAGGGCCTAGTGACGGGTTGGCTGGTCTAGGTAACCCACCCATTGCCCTCCCCAATGATAGGAAGGAAACTAGGCACAAGGATGCTGCTGGCACGGAAGGAGGGCGCCCTAAGAAGAAGTCAAAGGTCGAAAAAGTTGTAGCCTTAATACAGAGTGGTAAGATGTAGCCGTGCGTGCGCGTGATGCCAACTTTTGTCCGACGTGGAACACTGGCGGCGTTGTGTTTCTGAGGAAGATGTTGGTGCACTGCTGTGCTCCAGCTGGCCATGGTCTTTCTAGCGTAGCAGTTGCTGTTGAATAGTCTCTCTCATTTGCAGTTTGGTTTCTTTGGTGGACTGCCAATATATATCTTGGCAGGGTGTTGAGAAGATAGAGAACCTGGTGATGGATGATTTCGTGATACGGTTGTTTTGGTATGAATGACAGTGCCCTCTTTTCTTTTTTGTCTTTGTTAAAATGCAAATGAACCTAGGTTGCGTGACTCGGGTTCAAAAGTATCGTGAAGACCCCTTGCGAAGACGGATGCGAAGACGGCAGCCGGCGGGCTGTGACGTCTATGTTGAGGGTGCTTGTCTTGCGCATGGGGCACTGCTGTACGCACGCACTTCGAACTCCGCGACAAATAACATACATACGTGTGTATGCACGGCAGTCAGGGTATGTGCGGACATGATCTCGGGATTGTAGGTAATCGCCACTCAATAAAATGGTAAGAGCGCGACAAATACATTGACACTTACTTTGCACAGACACGGGCACACGGCCACCCACCCACAAACAGCAGTGTCACCTTCATTTCAATACTGAAACGCTACCCCACATACAACGAGCAAAGAAGAATACAGTCAAGACGTGGCACGTTTTCAGGGAACTCTACTTGTAGTCATAACTTGTAGGCATCGACTGCTGGTGGTTGGCACCGCCGCAGCTTTCTTCTCTATGTTCTCTACAATAACGCCGCTGCTGCAGCACACACACTGAAGCGATTTGATTCGAGGCGGATACCGGTCCTTGAATGCTGAAAGTTCGGTCGTCACTCCCCGGAGCGATGTACTTATGATACTGCTGCTTGTGGCGACGGTTGCTCTACGTCGGCGCAGAACTCGGCGTGTCTGTCGGGACAGCGCGCTGCGTGCCTAACATGCCTAACATGAAACATGCCTCCTGTCATATTCCGGAAAATGAGGGTTTTTTATCCCTGGGTCGCGTTTTTTAAACGAGACCCCCGGGTCGCGTTTACCGGCTCCCCTCGAACAGCAGCCCCCGCCCGCCCGCCCCGGAAAAAAAGCCGCTGTCGATGTGTACTACATACAGCGGTAAAGTTGGTGAGTTGGTGAGGTTGATGACTGCTGTAGTTCTATTTCTACACATGTATATATCCGTACTCTCGATACAAGGGAGAGATGGCTGTGTATTACCGCGGAGGAAATAATTGTTCCGATTTCTGCCTCGAGTTGGCAGGGTGCCAGCGTCAGTTCTCGGGCAAATTTTGAATGTACCCTCGGGGGACAGAGTTTTAGGAGTTTAATTTATGCGGGAGAAGCCCGCCAATGCAGAAGCCAGTGAAACCCATTCATCTGCGGACCACGCGTTTTCAAAATGTGGCATATCACTCAAATGAATCAATGAAGGAAAGAAAGGAGGCACCAGGGCAGAGGGTCCGTCACCGGGGCAGCAAAGAAATCGCCGTGCATGTATTCTTCTGCCGTGCGGTTGTGAACATACCGACGCGTCGAGATGGATGATATGATGATGGCGATTGCTTTGGGTGGGGTGTTCACTCCAACGAACCTACCGACAGATGGAGTCAAGAGAGCGAAAAAAAACAACGCGGAGGTGCCAGAGCATCATCATCACGTTACTTGAAGTGTTCTGTCGAGAGGACGGGCGTGCAGATGATAAAATAAAAGCATGCATGGATCGCTGGTTGTGCGTACTACCGCTGTGCTGCCGTAGCTCGACATAAATATTCGCGCGAGTGTTTTCATTATTAGCGCGCGTTTGCTTGTATTGCTAGCATCGCGCGAGTGTGTGCGTGCGTCCGTGTGCGTCCCTGTGTGTCACATCTCCCTCTCTCTCGTCGCTGTTGCGTGCTCGTCATCGACACTCGGTGTGGATTGTCATTGCGAAACTTCGTGCACACAAGGGACTAGATTGGCCTCTGCTTGTGCGCGCGTCTAGTCTGCGCCAGTTGCAGCGCCCAGGCTCCCGCTTGATGTGTGTCGGTCTCTGAACTGGTTGGTTCGAATGCGGTGCGCACAGGAGAAAAAGCGGCGCAATTGCCAAAATTACTCGAAAATAGACAGGACGCCAAGTAGGCGCCAAGTTGAATGGAGGCAGTTTATTGGCGGACGCTGAATCTGTCAAGGTGGCTGTTTTTCCTGCCCGTCAGCGCCTTTCTTTACCCTCAGCAGAGAATGGAACAAACAGCATCATCAAAAAAAGAGGCACCAGAATCAGCTCCCAATATATCTGCCGCATCTTTGTTACTCCCATGCCCTGGTGGTGCGTAGTGCCTGATGCTGGTACGTTACCCTTTCTTTGATTGTTTCTTCTATATTAGGCGGGTGTGGGAAGCGTCCCCCTTTATGTATATATTTTTATTTTTTTATCGCTTTCCGAGGGCTCATTTCTCCAACGGTCGGTGCGGTACCTGATACTTTCTTTTTATCATTTGGTTTCTTTTTCCGAGTGGTTTGTACCCTATTTTGGTTTTGTTTCCCCGCGGCGTCGTATGTGCCGGGTTGTGAGACCACGGGCTCCCCATTTTTTGTGGACTATGGAGCCAACAACAACAAAATATATATGCATTGCCTGGTTATTATATTGTCTACACCGGTAGCCCCGACACCTGACTGACTGAGATGATGACCGCAGCTGTGTGTGATGGTTGTTGTTGCTTTGAAGTTACCCCGAGGCGTCGTACAGACGTCAGTCGGTGTTGTTCTTTCTTGTTGTTGTTTTCTTCCCATTAAAATCGTGTCAGTTGCTGATCCTAAAATCTGGCAAAGACTCGGTCCGTGGCCACAACAATGCTAGAGCCATCAGAAGATCTAAAGAACACGCACAAATAGTAGCAAGAAAAGGGTACACAAGCACGAGAAGGTAACACAAATAATTCCTGCAGCACGTGCGTGCTCACAACTGAACTACACGCCCACACACTACAATTCGACTAAATACAGCAGCAGCAGAATCACCCCCCCCCTTGTCCCGCACTCAACCAAATTGAATGTTTGTCGACTATAGTGGCAGCGGGTATAAACAACCACCCGGGTATGAACAAACACATCGGCGGGAAGGAGACCACTGTTTATGGCAAACAGATCTTGATCTTGATTCTTCAAAACCTTGGCAAGATAAAAGCGACCCCCCCCCCAAGATCAACGACGTTGTAAAACAAGCCAATTCACTTCGTGAACTCGGCAACCAGGTTACCGTTGTTTTTTTTT